TTTTTTAACATTTTCTAATGGTGGTGTGCCTCGTGATTTTTTTCATGAAAAAAGTGTGCCTTTGCACAAAAAAGGTTGAAAAACACTGATCTAAGGGACCCTTGGGCTCTCTGAGCTTGGCGATTTTCTTGCAGATGTTTCATTACCTGAACTAATAACGTCATCAATGCTAGCTAGTTTGGGTAATGAAACATCTGCAAGAAAACAGCCAAGTTCAAAGAGCCCTAAGGGCCCTTCATTCCAATCCTGAGTTACAAACATGATCCTCTATTGGTATCTTCTTGAGCTCTCAGCATCAGCTACAGTATCCTTCAGGTCCAGTGGCAGGATCAGAATGGGAGGCATGGTGCCCTGTGGTCAGTGGGAAGCTTAACTGGTCCAGAATGGGATGGTGTGGCCAAATAGGGGCATATCTTGTCAGACTTGTGTACCACTTTTACTCTGCGAACTGCATGGGCTCCCGAGAGGCTCCTGGGTCCATTCAGAGTGCTTGTTGCCAACTATAAAGCCCTTTGTGGCACAGAGCCTGGTTACCTAAAGGGTTTTTATAGCTTTGCTTGACCTGTGCAAACAGGCAGGGCTGGCATGCACCCCCCCGCCATCCATTCAGCTGATGAGGCGGCAGAAGCAGCCTTGTCAGTTACAGCATAGAGAGGGAAACTTGTTTCAAGTGAAGTTAGTTGTTTACCATTGGATGAATCTATAAAATTCCATGAATAAGTATTTTTAAGAATGAAGATTTATCTTTAAGAATTATATTAGCTTTCTTGATGTGGTTCTGTGTTTTTGAAAACTTGTTTTATATAAAGAACAAAAACTACCCAATAATTACGTTTGCTGCCTTCATAAGATTTTTCCCTCTAAATCCTTTTTTTTACTCAAAGTTTTTGAAGTATAAGAAAATATAATTAGATGTGGCCATGAAGGCACTTCGGTGATTGTGATGAGTAGGAAGAGAGGGTCACGCAGGGCTGTTTCCTTTCCACTCCAGCCATCTCTTCCCTTCAGCTGAATCCCCAAAGCCTCTCTTGAACAGACTCGCCCTTCAGGGAATGCAGCTGGGGAGCCTTTGGGCCAGAGGAACAGTTGTTGATTAATGACTTGTCTCCCCCCCCAAAAAAAGATATTTGGGACATGAGCCAAGAATTTTGGAAGATTTAAATTGATTTTATGTGAATTTTCCTGGAAGCACCTTTGATTTGCGGCTTTTTTACAATGCCTGAGTCCTTTAATTGGAAAGGGCAGATATTAAATCCTGTTGAGATGCCCTGTAAGTGGGGGAGATCTGGAGATTCCAGAAAAAGCAAATTTTGGGGCTCCTATCTTGAATCCTTGCACACATCCTAGAATTCTTTTCACAATTGGAACCAGCATTAGGCTGCTGATAAACCACAGAGGGGCTTGTAAGGAAACAAGTCACATACTGAGGAAAGTGGAATGATTCAGACAGCACCTTTTGTGGTTTTCGAGATTCAATAAGAAAACCTAAAGGTTGCTAGAAAAGGATGGTGTCAGGAGGACCCCCTGCTGTCTGAGTCCACATCAAGAGCGAGGCAGACCTGGGGAGTGGCTTTGGGCAGAGGCTTATCAGGGAAGTCACGTACAGGGGAGATGGACGGCAAAACATTTTCATCCAGAAATAAGTATACTTCATTAAAGGTAGCGAAATGGATCAGGATACTGTGTAGAGTCAGGAAGAGGACTTGGATTAGCAAGGCAAAGGGGGCTGAACCTTTTTTTGAGGCTTAAGGACCAAGATAAGACTTGGATCAGGCAGGACCTCCCTGATTCTCTGCCCCGAAAGAAAGAGGTGAGGAAAGGCAGCCCAGGGCTGCTTCCAGAGCCAGTCTCTGTCCACGGCCTGATTTCATGGTCGCCCTCCAAGTGTGATTGGCAGATATCAGAGGAAATAGTGAACATTGTTTTCCCTGCTGTGCTGAGCTTAAAAAGAAAACAACAAATAACTCAGGGGAAATAAATGATAATAGCAGTAGACTTATATACCGCTTCATAGGCCTTTCAGGCCTCTCTAAGCGGTTTACAGAGAGTCAGCATATTGCCCACAACAATCTGGGTCCTCATTTTCCCCTCCCCAGAAGGATGGAAGGCTGAGTCAACCCTGAGCCGGTGAGATTTGAACCGCTGACCTGCTGATCTAGCAGTAGCCTGCAGTGCTGCATTTAACCACTGCGCCACCTCATGGCCTTGTCCACATCCCCAGGCGCAATAAGATCATATAAGGAAATGAGATAAAATGTTTGACAAAGTGTTCAGTGCATTTCAGAGCCTATGTGTTGTATTTTTATCCTTTTCTTTCTGAGAAGCAATGTCTTCTTCGCTATGACAAAAGTGGAAATTTGCCCAAATACATTGCACATTTTTAACATTCCCTTTCATGCCTCTTAAGATATTTTTTTCTTTCCTGCTAAATTTTAAAAGAATACAGAGCTTGCTTTCACTTGATCACCTGCCTGCAAGCCTTCCGGAACAACAGTCTGGGTGGGAGGAGGTGACCACTTTCATTGTTTTACAGGTAGTCCTCAACGTATGACCACTATTGAGCCCAAAATTTATGTTGCTAAATGATACAGTAGTTTGGCCCCATCTTACAGCCTTCCTGGCCACCATTGTTAAGCGAATCACTGCAGTTTTTCACTCTGTCACATTGTTGTTAAGTGAATCTGGTTTCCCCCTTGACTTTGCTTGTCAGAAGGTCACAAGAGGGGATCACGTGACCCCAGGACGGCTGCAACTGTCATCAGCTGCCAAGCGTCTGAATTTTGATCATGTGACCATGGGGATGCAGCAACAGTTGTGTGAAAAACAGCCATGCGTCACCTTTTTCAGTGTGGCTGCAACTTCAGTCACTAAACAAACAGTTGTAAGTTAAGGACTATCTGTAATTGATTCTCTGCTTGCTGTTGTACCAGACTTATATAGATCTCCCATTCTTACATTTTGGCCAGGCCAAGGTTTCTCAACCTTGGCAACTTGAAATATCTGGACATCAATTCCCAGAATTCCCCAGCCAGCTGAGCCAAGTTGCCAAGGTTGATGAACACTAGCCTAGCTGAAGCACTGCACTGCAAGATACTGTGCTACCTTTATTAAACAAGAGAGCCCAGAATTAGCCATAGCCATCAAGTCTGCCGCTCAGTACAGGAATCCAAATCAAAGCAACCATTTTCCAGCTCCAGCTACAAACAAGCTTGCTGAGGAAATACATTAAACTTAGAAGAAAAGCAATGACAGAATTTCCTGTGAGTTTGGGATATTAGACATCCCTCCGCCTCACCCGATGAACATTCAGGTTGCAGTAACTGCTGTAGAAAGAATTTCAAATCAGTAATGCTAAATATAGCCAACTTTCACAATTGTTTCTTTCTCGAACATGTGAGAGAAAATTAAAATTCACAGTAACATCAGGTTGAATCAGAAACAGTTACTTTTCCGGAGGTGTTAATACTCTTGAGAAGATGACAAGCCTGCTAAGGGAGGGGGGCGGGAGGGATGGGGGGAGAGAGAGATGCTTACATGGGAGACAAAGTCCAAGTGGCTTGTGGCAAAACCACACACATTCCTTCCCTACACAGGGCTGCCTCCTTCCTCTTTGGAAGCTTCCCAAGAATTACTTTGAATTAAAAAATGGGCAGATCTCATCTTGGGAAGAGCATTCTTCATTTTGCAGAAGTCGCAAGAATATGAAACGGCTGCAGTTGCGTGCATTTTTGAGTTTGGGTTATTCATTCAAATTAGGGTAATCCCCATATCCTTGTATATAACTATATCCAAATTAGAATACTGAACCATAATACAAAAGGAGAAAATGCTGATAGAATTTCTTAGCAACTGCAGTAAGGCAAAGTGTATACCAGAAAACAAACAAGGGTTGATTATGATCATAAAGAGATCTGTCATTAGGCAGCTTAAGAGCACACTATGGTAACTACCCAAATTCAGCATGGATTTGTCAAGATCAAATCTTGTCATCCCATCTCAGGTTTTGATCAGGCAAAGTCTTCAATGTATTGTGGACATGCTGTAGACATAACATATATCGTCTTCAGCAAAGTGACCCATGGCTGATTAGCCTTTTAGTTGTGTGAGTTTGAGGGTATGACAATTAAATGATTTCTCATCAACAGGAAGAGACATTGTGTGGAACACTAAAATATTTTATTAGGGAAGAAGCGGAAGAAGGAATATTAATCAGATCTTCCAATGAAGAAGAACTAATAGCTCCAATGGGTAGCTTCTCCATTCTCTCCCCGTCTGTTCTTCTTTTTTTAAGGTTGTGGGCAGAGCTTCAGTAGAATGTCTAATACATTTCAGGCATTTTATTATTCTCCCGTGCATCGCTTGGAGAGTCCAAGCAATGGGTTAATTCAGTCTGGTTGCCCTGGAACTGAGGAAACTTTTCCCTGACCATGCCTCCTGGTGTGATTGCTCCCCAGAAATTTTTCCTCAGTCTGCCCGTTTGGAAGTATTATTGTGAGCTTCAGCTGAATTGCCTTTCTTTTTGGCTTGGACTCTCCTAACTTCTTCTTCTTTTCCCTCAAAGTTCTCCCTTTACTCCCTTCTACTTTTTCCTCTTGTTCATTGTGTGTTTTGCTGTTGCTACGAGCCTCTAGGAGGCTAGGAGGTAAGCGTGCTGGTGGGGGAGGGCTCTCCATTGCCGCTCCGTTTAGGCCGGCTTCTGAGGTCTGCCGCGCGCTTTTAAAAGGCGCGGCAAAAGCGGCAGAGCTTTCCTTGATCGTAGCAAGCCCTACGAGTCACCTTTATTATTTTCTTGAGGTTTGTTCGTTGTTTTTGGCCATTTCCATGCTCTAGCCTGCCGCGGAGTAGCGCGCGACCATCGGCTTGCAGGGCGGTCACCGCGTTTTGCCTCCTTCATCCCCCACGCTGCGTGATGGCCATTTTGGAAGGGCTTCGTGATCTTTTTTGGCCTAACGGTTTGCCGCTCAGCCACGCTGGTTCAGGAGCCCGCTGGGTGGCAAGTGGCCAGCTCCAGGGTCTCCCACTGACCTCCTGTCGCCTTCACCAAGCACGAGGCAGTGCTCCCAGGCCTTGCTTCTTTTTATTGCTGATATCCCGGGGCCTCCCTGCTCTCCTGACTGGCCTGACAGCCTAACACTGCAGGCTTTAACCTCCATGTAACCACCACTGGCACTGCTCCTTTATGCTCTCTTACTGAATGGATTTTAATTGTGTATCTACATTGCATGTTTTTTCCCCCAATTAAAAGTTTTTTTCTCCTTGTATTGCAGTGTAGCCAATCAGAGCCTCCACCCCTGCCATCGACCTGCGCTTGACAGAGCAGCCTGTGCGGTCATTGACCATGGAACTGCCCGGTCCATCAGGTTCATTAGTCAGTAGACCAGGCCCCTCTCAGGCCCCTAGCAAGGTTTCTCCTCCTTCTAAGGGTGGTGGGGCTGGTAGAAGCAGGGTGGCTACCCAGGGGCATCCCCCAGGGCTCCTTCAGCGGCCGACGCTAAGGACGCTGAAAGGCGCCAAGCAATTCGAAAAGGCCTGGCACCAGGCAGCGAAGGATGCTCCCCAGGCCTCTCCTACTGGGGATTCCTTTGTTCTTTCCCTCCCAAGGGGAGATCCCATGGCCTGGATGGCTGAGGAGGTAGAATCCCAGGACCTGTCTCCTGACAGGTCTTTGGCTGAGCCACCTTCACCGGCTCCCTCGTGACCGGTCTTATGACCAGGGCCCCATTCCTGAGGGCCTCACCCGAGGCGATTTAACCAAGGACACCCCCACTCACCTGGAGGAGTTCCTTGACCAAGACCCATAGTCGGACCATGAGCCCAAGTTGTCCGCCTGCATGCAAGCCATGTTTGCCCGTGCCATTGCCAAGGGCATCGCGGATGGCATGCAGAAACCCCCTGTTGCTCCCAGAACCTCCCAGCCTGGCCAGAGCGGTCCTCCCCCGGCTAAAAGGGTTCATCACCCCTTTCTAAAGTCTTCTCCCAACCTGCCACTCTGTCCTCTCCCAGCGGAGCGGCAAGAAATTGTACACGATGGAGCCCGCCTTAGAGGACATCCTGGTCCTCCCGACCACAGATTTAGAGCCGAGGTGGCGCAGTGGTTAGAGTACAGCACTGCAGGCTACTTCAGCTGACTGCAGTTCTGCAGTTCAGCTGTTCAAATCTCACCGGCTCA